GGTTCTCTATCGTGCGTCGAATCAAATAATTCATTGTTAGAAACGATGATAAAATAATATCGCTTGGCATTTTATTCTTATTAACATCTGACAGTTTTGTCAACACGGAAGGCGAGGCGTGAGATATGTACTTTATTTTGCGATTTTTGTCAATAATATAGTTGTTTGTAAAATGGTTATAAGACCTATTTTATAAATTACCTTTTCCTTATTGAAAAAATTATGAAATTTTTAAATCAGTTAGGGTTATAAAAAAAGTTCCAACGAGTACAGCAATTTCTCTTCAACAGTTCGAAAACCCAACAAATTGCCAACGTAAAAATATATCAATATTAAAAAAATCGTCCACGATATTATTTTAACTGATATTAATTTAATATCAGTTTCGAAATCAGTGACGACGAAAATCTCTGGATACCAAGCTTCATAACAATCTATACATTGTTAAAGAAATCGTCCGCTATATTGGATCCGCCATTTTGAATTTTGAAAATTTGATTTAATTTTCGAAATTAGTGACGACGAAAATCCCAAAATACCAAATTGCATTGAAATATGTCAAATACATATGGAGTAAATAACAAGGTTTATAACAATTTATCCATTTTTGAACAAATCGTCCGCCATTGGGGATGTCGGAAAAACATCGATGCATCGAAAATATCGATGCTTTGCTTCGATGCATCGAAAATTTTCCACTCGATGTATAAATAGTCGATGTATCGATGTTTTTTGAAAACTGACATCTACGGTACATTGAACCGTCATTCCAGTTTTTCAATTGTTAAAAAAAAAAGAATTGACTTTGGCCAAAAAATTTAAATGGCAGCAAGAAGTTCCGTTCATAATTAGCTCAGTTGCAGTAATTTATTTCAAATTTTCTACAATTTTGCTAATAACATATTTTGTTGTGAAACATTATCTGAAAAATCCTATGCAAATCGATGCATCGATGTATGCCCTTCGATGCTGTATTTTAAAATGCATACATATGTGTCTGACGGAAGAAACTTAAGCGGTTAAAAAAATTTCAAAATCTCCATGAGAAATATCCGTATACAAAGTAAAACGAATCTCTACCGGATTCAGATCCAAAGATAGTCTAAATTTATAGTTTATTGTGGTATTTACTGTAATTAACCCTATAATGCCCTTAATTTTAATATTGCTGTTAAAATTTTTTTTAAGTGTCTGTATTTTTTATGGTCGCAGACTTATATAATAGGTGTCTACAGAGAAATTGTGGAAAGTAATACCCTCTACAATGTGCCATAAGCCGCATTTCGGATCCGTGGTAAGTGCGCTTTAAAATTCTAAAAATAAGTTTTTCTCTATATAAAAAAAAAAATATAAATTTTTTTTCTTAAAAGGTAGGCCATGTTTTACAAAATTGCTAATTATAAAAGTTATTTATAATTGCCTAAGCTGTCCACAGAAAAAAAATCATATCGATTCGTTGAATTTTGACCCTAAATCCATAATTTCTTGATTTGGGACCAGTGTGCGGCGTCCATCTCGGAGATATTTTGCTTGATATTTCTCAGCATGCACTAAAGTCTCAAATTGACACTGTTTAGAGATCGATGCCCCTGACACCGACTTTTTAAAAATAGGCTTATTTTGAAATTTTTTTCTTAGAAATCATGTGACTTTTGTCCCTTTTCTTTAATTTAAAATTCTCTAGCAACAATTGACAATTTTTTCATAAATTATATTTTTCTTACGTGCTTAAAAACGCTCTTAGTATTTACTTTTCAAAGGCACTTAAAAATTGCACCTCTAGCAAGATTTTGCCTAATTTCAATCTTTTTATTATGTCAAACATTTTCTGCAAAAATGCCCAGAAGTAGTATGAATTAATGCACCGTTTTTGTAGTTTAGCAATTTCCCCAGGCTTTTTGTGTTAACTTTATTTTCGAGGCTTCCGGTACAAACTAGTAATATGCGATAGTTTATATATATACTAAAAAGGCTACACTTTTTATAATAACTGTTATCTACTAATGTTGCTTTTTGGAACTGAGTAGTTATATTGATGTAAGTACTTTTTTTTTTAACTGCAATTTTGTATTCATAATAAATTCAAAATATGTGTATTGCGTCCTTTTAATTTACCCTCATCAATAGGTTTTTGTTTTAAGAGAAAAAACTATTTTTTCCAGAAAATGATCTCCATTAGCAATTTATTTAAAATAATGGCGAATACTCATACATTAAATAAAATCTATTCTAAGCTGCTTTTTTGACAGATTTTCCGTTGATTCCGTTTTTTTCTTGTCCGTTTTTTTGAGAGCTGCATACTGGCCTCTAGTTGTAAAGGGCAAGGAGGAATCCCTTATTCCTGATAATATGAAGGTTTTAAACGTTCCTTATTTAAATTGGGCGCTACTTGTATTGTAAGACTAATTTTCGCCAAAATCTAAGGAAAATGCTGACAGAAAACTTAAAAATGCATCTTGTGGTGCAGTGTTACTACAACTATAGAGATTAAAGTTTTGCGAGTTAAAAACTCGAAAGGAGAAAATAGTCCAAGATTCAAAGTAGAAACTTTTCATATAATGAAACTAGTTCATAGTTTTTCTCTTTTTACTTGTAAAATAACCATTTCTAAAATAAATGTATTTTTTAATTATTTTTCGGTTTTTGTCTTTTCCTAGTGCATTCTTTTGCCTTTTTTGTGATTTCTAGTGCCTTTTCCTGCCTATTTCGCAATTTTATTTTGCCTTTTTTTATAGGTTTTTGGGTTCCCTGGTTATAACTAACCTTAGAGTCGATTTTATTTCGACTATGAATATGCCCCAATAAGTTTCAAAAGGTAAAATAATGAAAGTCTTTATATACATGGTATAAACAATTTGAATGAGTTAAATACACTTTTTTTCGGCTGTGACACTTTTTTTGCGACTTTCGAAGAATTTTCAGCGGTAACACTGTGCGTCAGTGACATTAAAACCCAACCCACCCAATAGTTGCAGGGAATCATCAAATGCTCTTGCAATTGTGGAATGATTCGTCCGTTCTAGACAAGCGGCTTTAATAAAATATGCAATTAAATATGTTTTTTTTACAAAATATGCCCATATGTGCATGTAAGGCAAAATAAGTAAGAATATGCACTAACAAATCGATGTAATCTTAACACAAAACTCTTGATTCGCTACATTTGTTAATCTTTAAGTTCCTATGACTTACCAAAAAAAATCTGTAAATGCATAGAAATCCGGGTCCTAATTATAACATAGAATAATAAATAGTAGGGTTATAATTATTTTATGCAATTAGAGTGTCAGAATTTCGTTTCATTTTAATTTGGTCGGAGCTAGATGATAAGAACTTTTGTTTTGGTCAATACAAAAATAGTGTTGAAAAGCAAAATCGGATTACAAAATAAAAAGGTTTCTGCATTTTGAACCAAACCTCTATATCCCTATGTTATTCGACGCGCTGAATGCAAATCTGAGGTCTGTTAGCTCCCATCACGTCAGGTTCGAGGTCATTTGAAGGTCAAGTAGGCAAAAATTCATTGAATAAACCTGAAAATTTATATAAAGTGGTGGAAAAAAATAGGGACAAAACGTTTAACAAATTTCTCCTATTTCCCTTATGTTTATTTAATATTTATTGTTTTTTTTTAAACTATAGCTCAATTTCTAACAACACCCATATAAATTCATATTTCAAACTTTGTGCAAAAGTTATTAAAATTCTGCAAAACTGCATCTAAATTTTCAACTTAATAATCAGATTTTTAAGAATTTTTTCGAGAATGAAATTTTATGGCTCATTAAATTTTAGTAGAATAGTAGAATAGTTCTAAGTTCCTAAAAAATCGCGTTGATTTTTGTTAATTTTTATTCTGAATGTATTACATGCAAAAGAATTGTCGAACATAGTTTGTATGGGAGAAAATACGTTAAAAAAAAATCCAAAAAATCAACGCGACTTTTTAGCAACTCAAAACTTACATTTCATTCTACTAAAATTTAATGGGCTATAAAACTACATACTAAAAACAATTCTAAAAAATCTGATTAAAAAGTTGAAAATTTAGATGCAACTTCGCAGAATTCCGTAATACGTAAATTCTCCATAAACCTAATATACATCACTTTTCGATAGCCCTGATAGTTTCTGAGAAATTAATAAATCATTTCTGACACCACTAGTTTTTGATGGAAACACTCTACCTACTCAGGTGTACGTGGCGTATGAGTAATACAAATTTCTGCTCATATTTCATACAAAAAATCCTTGCGCATTTTCATTTGACCAATCATTATTTTCTTATTTATCCACCGATTTTCATCATTGGTAGCTTAATTTTTTTTTAAAGGAACAGGCTCTAACACAAGTGCAAAACATTTACACAGAAACTGTTATTTTTATTTATTTCCAGTTTGAATTTTTTGCATTTGCCATCAAGAAAACAAAAAATCTCGAATGATTATTTAATTTCTCAGAAACTGTCAGGACTATCGAAAAGTGATGTATGTATATAGGGTTTATGGAGAATTTTATTTGCTTTCATTTGCCGTATATCGTCTTACGATTATTTAATTGGTTCGTTAGATATACGTTATATACCTTGTGCTAGCTGGTTTGTTGTTGTAACTGCTACATATGTCGCTCAATAAATTTTTTGCTGTATCTTTTTGTTGCATTTGGCACAAAGTTTTGCTGCTTGCTACATATGCACACTACAACTTTGCAATGGGGTGTCGCCCTACTCTTGCAAATTTAAAATATGTAAGGGCTATTCGCGATTCGGTGCATAAGAGCTGACAAATTTATGCAATTGCAGAAATATGCCATGGATTGTGAGCGACCTTTATTAAACTGTCATGGCAAGGCTTTTGCAAAACAATTTTTGTGCATCAGCTTTGGTTTTGTTTATGAATGCAATGCATAGCATTTTTATGCTATGGATTTTCGGTATTGCAAATTTGCCAAGCCATGACAAATGCAAATGCGTGTATTTTGTTTGTGTTGCAAATAATTTGCAATACAAATTTGCAATGCAATGATGCTAGGTCATTTGCACCGTAGTACTCTTAGCAGATAACAATGTTCCATGCGATTTTAGATGTCCATAAAGTCCAGCCGGTTGTGCAAACCGCACTCCACAAAGTTTGCAAACAAATTTCTTTTCAGCGTCATGAATGTGTTTGTGTTGACGAAGGTCTTTTCGAGTTGTAAATCCTTTATTACAGACGTCACATATTTTGTCCCGCACCTTCCAATGAATGGCCATATGTTCTTTAAGTTTACGTTTAATATAAAAGGCCTTTGAACATATTGTACACTTTTCACCAGGGCGTTTTTCGTGTCGCAGCAAATGCTCTTTAAATCCTCGTGGCATTTTGAAACTTTTGCCGCAAATATCGCAAACGTGCGGCTTTTCGCCTGTGTGTTGAAGCATGTGGGTTTTTAACTCAGTTGTAGTTGCAATAGCCTTGCTGCACACCTCGCAGCTGTAGTTGTAGTCCTGTGCGTGTCTTCGTAAATGTACCGTTAAGTTAGTTGCCAGCTGAAATCCTTTTTCGCAAACAATACATTTAAATGGTAGCGACCCATCATGGGATGCTTTATGTATGGTATACTGGCTTAGGCTAGGAAGTAAATTTCCACAAACCGAGCATTCAAAAGGACGAACATCGATCTCAGCAAATGCTATGTGCTCGTAATATGGGAGTTTAGGTTTATAACTACATTTGCTTTTTTTACATGAAATTTTTTGATTCTTTTCGTATGAACATATTTTGCGAATACGAGCAATTTCCTTCCCCAAATCACGTTTAGTAAAGTTTAATTCAAACTTGTTATTCAGTTCTTGAAGCATATTCCCCAAGGCTTCTCGACGCCTGTTAGCGAATCTATATGCCATATCCTTTTCATTCCATAGACATGGTTGTGTCTTGTATATTTTGGCCAATTCGACTAATTGTGTATCACTTAGCAAACTGTTAGGTCCGGAGAATGTAGTAGAGTTCGGGTCCACTGTTTCCTGTTAAAATATAAAAATATCAGAAATATAAATGAAACATTTTTGTTTTGATTTCAAGTATACGGTATTGACCTGGTTATACGTCGTACGAATGTTTCTAAAAATTAATCACAAGTTGATTAGGCATGAAATAAAAGTTACTATTATCCAGTGGCGTAGCCGAGGGGATCTTGTTATCATTTTTTTTACAATGTAATTGCTCCTCCGTTAGAGGCTTTTATTATAAATATTTATATTCCGACATGTGCAGATTGTTTCTGACACTTTCAATTAAAGAAAATTATCATTTGCTTTTAAATTATTACAATCCATATATAGGGGTCCGTGATTTTTTAGTCCGGGCCCGAGTTTTCTCTCGACGGCCCTGTCTGTACACACACATTAGCCTTTTCAATACCGTCTGAAAAGCCCAACGTGCGAAAATACATTTTGCTTTTCAGACGATGAAACCGGTTTCGAGCTACATATATGTACAGTATTCCTGCAAACCCATCAATAGTGGCACCATCGAATCCGAATCGCTACAAACGTGAGTATTCAAACCACACGCTACGTTCGTAGCTATTCTGATACAGTGATAGCATTTTCGTAAGTTTCACGAAAAATCGGACTACGGTGGATTCCGTGATAGCCCTGGTAGGTATTAGAAAATTAAAAATAAAATAAGTTTAAGTAAGAAAGTTCAAACCAAAACAGTGTATTCATTTATTTTATTTAAACTAATAAAAAGGTTCTGCGACAACAATTTGCGTTTCGCAATTTGTTTTTCTCGTGAATGGAAAAGCAACTTTAGTGCAAAGTAAAATACCATCGATGGTTTTGCAGCACTATTGTACAGGGTGGTTATGAATAACTGTTACCCAGATTTTTTTATTTTTTGAAAAGTATTCTATTGTTAATTTTCCTTAGATTTTACTTTAGTAAATTAATTTTTAATTTAATTTAATAATTCGCTTTTAATTTTCAACTTTTATTTGGGTTTACCAGTGGTAAACACTTTGAGAGAAAAGCGCAAGCGACATGCAAGTCTTCGTCGGTTAATTTATTCCATATCTTCTGTAACCATGGGCTGAATTCCTCCATTTTGAGTCCTCTATACTCCCCCTTCTCCAAAATAAGACCTTGTACTTATAAATCGAATAGACTCGGAACTCGTGACTAGGGCGGACATTCATTCGACCAACTCTAAACAGTTTGTTTTTTTTCGTCTTTTTTATACAAAGTCTGAGAAAAAATACACCTCCAACGGCTTGCGTGCCGTACTTATGTATCTCCCAAAGTTTACACAGCTGGGAAATGCAAATAAGGATTAAAATTTTAAAAGTAATTAATAAAATTAAAGAAATGGAAAATTAACAAAAAAATACTTTCTTCGAAAAATCTATAAAGAACCCTTCTATTAAAAAAAAACTGCGTAACAGTTATTCGTCACCACGCTGTATATGTATGTCCATTAGGGTGGCCCTTAGAGATACGGCACAATTTAAATTTTTATTAGACCGCACCTCCCAGATCGGTGAATATTCATAAAAAATGTGTTATCCTAATTTTCATTTCAATTAGATAAAGTTAAGGAAACCTTAAATTTTCATCCTTTTCTCTAAATTATCCCTACCCCATTGGTAGAGGGCCTCAGGTGTACGAGTTTTTTGTACTGTCCGGAGTTGAAGACTTGCTCAAGCTGCTAGTCGCTTAATATTTCCTGCAATCCCATCGCAAGCAGTAGTCCGATCACTTTAGACCAAAATCGACGTAAGATTAAAAAAAATTCCGGGAAGAAATTTTTTGACGCTGTTAGGTGTCTCCTGTTTATTTGAACATAAAATGAAAATTTTTCCCCCAATTGCGATATGGGAAGTGTCCGCCATCTTGGATTTTATGTTTTTTACGATTTGCGCGCGAATTTTGCATTTCTAGCGAAAAAAGGTAAACAAATTTGTTGAGAATTCGATTCCCTACAACTTTCATGTGCCTATCAATTTTTTTAAACAATTATTTATTGCTCATGATATGCAAAAATGCCCAAAATTAGGCATGTGGTGCGTTTTTTTTTTTCGAATTTTTAGCAATTTCTATTTGAAATAAGTGGCAAGGTTGTAGAGGACAAAATTTCCAATAAACGCATTATATATATATTTACGTAGGACGTGTAGATCTCGACCAAGTTTTGAGTAGCTTCTCCGTTTCCGCTGCATTGAGCGCGTTGTTGGTCGAGATCTACACGTCGTACGCGAGTATATAAATAATGCGTTTATTGCAAATTTTGTCCTCTACAACTTTGCCATTTAAATGTGCCACTTATTTCAAATAGAAATTGCTCAAAATTCGAAAAAACCGCGCCACTTACCCAATTTCGCGAATTTTTTGCATATTATTAGCAATAAATAATTGCTTAAAAAAATTATAGGCACATGAAGTTTGTAGGGAATCGAATTCTTTACAAATTTGTTCTCTACCTTTTTTCGCGAGAAATGCAAAATTAGCGCGCAAGATGGCGGACATTTCCCATTTCGCAATTGGGGGAAGAATTTTATTTTCGTGTTCACCTAAATAGGAGGCTCCAAACTGCGCCAAAAAATTTCCTCCTGGATTTTTTTCGTTGAAAAAATCGAGTGCAAAATTCGTGCGCAAGTCGCAAAAGACACAAAATTTAACATGGCGGACATTTCCCATATCGCAATTGGGGAAAAATTTTCATTTTGTGTTCACCTTAATAGGAGACACCAAACTGCGTCAAAAAATTTCTTCCTGGAGTTTTTTCGTTTAAAAAATCGATTGCAAAATTCGCGCGCAAATCGTAAAAAACACAAAATCCAAGATGGCGGACATTCCATATCGCAATTGAGGGAAAAATTTTCATTTTGTGTTCACTTAAATAGGAGGCACCAAACTGCGTCAAAAAATTTCTTCCTGAAATTCTTTCGTTGAAAAAATCTAATGCAAAATTCGCGCTTTTTCGTATTTCAGACCTCTCTTCTTCTTTATTGGCGCTGTAACCGCCTAAGCGATTTTGGCCGGGTCCAGCAAGCCAGTCATTTCTCTTCTGTGCTAACTGACGCCAATTGGAAACGCCAAGTGAAGCCAAGTCCTTCTCCACCTGGTCTTTCCAATGCAGAGGAGGCCTTCCTCTTCTTCTGTTACCAGCATCGCGGTCCGCGTTGAATATTTTCAGAGCAGGAGCGTTTCTGTCCATTCGAACGACATGGCCAAGCCAGCGGAGCCGCTGAATTTTAACTCGCTGCACTATGTCTATATCGTTGTAAAGCTCATACAGCTCATCGTTAAATCATCTGCGGTATTCGCCATCGCCAACACGTAAAGGTTCGTAAATCTTTCGCAGAATCTTTCTCTCGATAACTCCAACAGCCGCTTCATTGTCCATGCCTCCGCGCCATACACCAGCACAGGCACGATGAGTGACTTATAGAGTGTTATCTTTGACGACGAGAGAGGACTTTACTTCTCAATTGCCTACTCAGCCCAAAGTAGCACTTTTTGGCAAGAGTGATTCTCCGTTGGATTTCAAGGCTGACATTATTACTGGTGTTAATGCTGTTTCTCAAATAAATGAAGTCGACTACTTTTTCAAACTTGTAACTGTCAACAGTGACGTGGGTGCCAAGACGCGTATGCTCTGACTGTTTGTGTAATGACAGCAGATACTTCGTTTTGTCCTCGTTCACCACCAGACCTATTCGCTTTGCTTCTCTATTGAATCCTGAGAAGGCAGAACAAACGTAGCCCTTGTTTTTACCGATAATATCAATGTCGTCGGCATACGCCAGCAATTGTACGCTCTTGTAAAGTATTGTGCCTGAGCGGTTCAGTTCTGCGGCTCTTATTATCTTCTCCAACATTAGATTAAAGAAATCACACGAGAGGGAGTTACCTTGTCTGAAACCTCGTTTGGTATCAAACGGCTCGGAGAGGTCCTTCCCTATTCTGACGGAGCTGGTGGTATTGCTCAACGTCATTTTAGACAGTCGTATTAGTTTCGCGGGGATACCAAGTTCAGACATCGCGGCATAAAGACAACTTCTCTTCGTGCTGTCGAAAGCGGGTTTGAAATCGACAAATAGATGGTGTGTGTCGATCCTATTCTTGTGGGTCTTTTTGAGGATTTGACGTATTGTGAATAAATGATCTATGTTGGATTTTCCAGGATTAAAGCCACACTGATAAGGTCCAATCAGTTCGTTGACGGTGGGCTTCAGTCTTTCGCACAATACACTCGATAAGACCTTATAACCTATGCTTAGAAGGCTGATTCCACGGTAGTTTCTTGTGGATTGGGCAAAGCACACTTAAATTCCAGTCGTCGGGTATGCGTTCATCTGACCATATTCTGCACAAGAGTTGATGCATGCACCTTATCAACTCCTCGCCGTTGTACTTGAATTGCTCGGCTGGCAGGCCGTCAGCACCAGCAGCTTTGTTGTTTTTCAGCCGCGCAATCGCTGTTCGTACGTCGTCATAGTCAGGCGATGGGACAGCTACTCCATCATCGAGTTCGTCTTCTTCACTACTTTCAGTGCTGCTACCATTCAGTAGGTTGTAAAACTTTTCCCTCCACAATTTAAGCCAGAGATCCCTTCCTTGCCCACCTTCGCATTAAAATCGCCAAGCACGATTTTTACATCGTGTCGGGGGCAGCGCTCATATGTACGTTCCAAGCGCTCATAGAAGAGATCCTTGGACGCCCCATCCTTCTCCTCCGTCGGGGCATGGGCGCAGATGAGCGAGATGTTGAAGAATATAGCTTTGATGCAGATTATGGCTAGACGGAGGTCTGAAATCCTAAAAGTTAAAAATTCTAAAAATAGAATTATTAACAAAAACCAACAACCACATGATCATGTTTAAATAGCACTGGAATAGCTACGCTTGATTTTAGTTGGCTCACATGAAAAAAAGTGGAAACCGCAACAACAGTTCATAAGGCGAACTTAGCACAGTGCGTAGGCAACTGGCTCAGTCAGCTCAGTCGGTTTGAGTGCCGCTGAAGAAGTATGATGAGGAAATGTGGTGATTTCCGAAATAGCTATCACTTCTACGATTTTTATTTTCAAATTGTTGTTGCTTTTCCACAATAATTTTTCATTAAAAACGGCGTCAAGCTCAATAAAAATTGTTGAATATAATTAAAAAAAAATGTCAAACTCAAAACATAAAATAAAAAAGAATTATAATTAAAGCCCATAAAAATACAGAAGAAAAACATGTTTTATTAAGTTTCGTTACACAGATACAGCACTTTAAAGAAAGGTATGTATTTCGTTTCTTAAAATTTAAGTCCCGTGTAAAATTAAATACGAAAAAATATTTCAAGTAAAAGTATTTGCTTTGTAACAACATACAACTTTTATCACTTTTGTTTTGTAAAAAAAAAACTATCAAAACTAAAATACTTAAGAGATTTAATTCAAACTTCGAGGGACGGTCGGCACGCTTAAACTATCTCCGATTAACCTGAAATTTGTTCATGAATATCCACCAATCTAGGTGCATTCTAAGAAAATCAGATAAAATATATTAAGGCCACCCTAATGTACACATTGGTCTATCAGAAATACAAGAGAGTTTGTTATGTGTACGTATCAGATCGAATAATGACGCAATTTTCTCGGTCTTAAATTTTACTTCCTTCTCTCTTCCGGTTATAAAAAGCCGGATTCAGACGATCTAAAAGTACTACTGTTTGCACCTGGATAACACAAAAAGCTTTATAAGAGTTTTATAGTAGTTTACTTGCACAAAACTGAAGAGCAACTCGTTAGTATAGTATGGAAAGTGCGTAAAAGCCTGAATATGGCAAATTAACTTAACGGAACGTAGAACTTACAGAATCAAAATGAAACAGATTTCGACGTGGCATTAAGTTACGTTAAGTTTCGGCTGTTCAATTATAACCAAAACCGTTGCCATAATCAGACCATAACTCACATCGTCGCTGCAATACAAAAAGCCGTAATTAACTTAAAATCCAAAATTCACTTTTTGATTGATTATGATGCATTTCACCAACATCGTTTTGTACAATTAAAAATTTTAGTTAGCTATGGCTTTTTTGCATTTCAGCGACGAATACACCCTTTCCATACTATATTAACGAACTACTCTATGGTCGTAGTGCAAAATGTTGTACTAAGTATAAGAATAGCAGTCTACAAAATGAGTTTACAAAATATTTAAATGTTATATAAAGCACCTTGATTAGAGCCAAAGCATTTCAAACAGGTAGTAGTAGTAAAGTGGTTTGATTTGTTTCAAATTATTTGGTCTCTGAATCGTCAAATATTGTCAATTTTCTTAACAAAAATTGTTAATTGGCAAAATGTATTTGCATGTAAATATTTAAAAAATCAGCCTTTGTAACGCTTGCTTAACTCAGGGGTATAAACGCAGATTAGTGGGCCCTGCAAAGGATGTATTGATGCTTCTGGAATGAAACAAATTTAAAAAGAAAGAAAGTTGCAAAATTTTTTTAATTTATTTTTTTATTTCAATTTTTGTTTATGTATACATATTTCACATCACCCACCAGCGCCGCTATGTGCGACTAAAAGCTCAGTTAGACTAGACTTAATTTGCGTAACTTAACTTAATATTTTGGCCAACATGTTATATGAGAAACTGTGTTAGCGGTTAGTTAAAACTTAACTTACCGTAAGAAACTTAAGAACCTGTAGATTTTAGGTTCTTAAGTTACGGCCTTATGGAAATTGAGATCGGTGAGAAATCAGGCTTGCCAGACTCGTTTTTGTATTTCTTGAAAATAAAGGAAAGCAAACATTTTTGTCTGCATGATTTTTTTTTTGATGTGGCATTTTAGGCGGCGAACTGTTAAACAGCTGAAAAAGAAAATACAAAAACAAAATATTTCCGCTCTTGGCTTAAGTTGACGTGTTGAGTAATCATTTGGTTCTTTCCCGTACGCAATGCGGGATCCCGCTCGGAAAAGGCGAAATCTTTAAACTGATATTCGTGCTATGCAGAGCACTTTGAGTCATAACTTTGCTTCTCCTGCAGTGAGTGTTGGTGCTGTTGATTTGCTGTTGTTGATATCTCGCTTGCTATTACTCTTAACCAGGGATGCCGTTTGGATCTAAATAGATCCAATTGGATACATTTTTAGACGAATTTTTGCGGGATACTTATTTTTTCCGATCAGTATAAATGTGGATACTTTTTTAAATAGGCTAAAATTTTATGTTTTCTTTATTAATGACGTTTTCTAAATGTTTTAAAAACCGCTACTTAAGCGTGAAATTAGAGCATTTTATTTTTTGAGAACGAAGCAATGAAGTGATCTCACCAAAGCAGTGTAAGGCGCAATTGTTTAGTTAGCTAAAAAAGATGCTTTAAGCAAGATCTTAATATATAAATAAAACCAAAAAAAAAATGGAAAATAATATTTCTCAGTCCCACAGAATTTGTTTTGATAACTTTTGATTTTGAAATTTTAGCAAAAGTCATTATAAACAATTAATGACATTGAAAACGAAAAACGTGGAGCGCATGTAGTACAAAGCATTCGATTTGATTGACAATAGTCAAACTACATAACATTCTAAAGCGAAAGTACATATTTGAGATCGATTTTAAGCGGTCGTTATTCATATGCCCACATACATACATATGTTACTTTTCATATCAACTCAAGTGTATTACATGCGCCCCGCTTTTCATTTTCAATGTCATTAATTGTTTATAATGACTTTTGCTAAAATTTCAAAATCAAAAGTTATCAAAACAAATTATGTGGGACTGAGAAATATTATTTTCTACTTTTTAGTCCATTTATAAAAGCGTTGTATATTAAAAAGTTTGTCTTTATTTTATTTATTTTCTACTTTTTAGTCTTGTCTGTACAAAATTTTGCAATAGATATTAAAATAATTCAACTTACAGTGAAAGAGAACAGAAGACTATGCAAGCACATATAATATATGTATATATGCATAATCACCAGCTGTCGGCCAATACTATTACACGCAATTTTTCTATTCCCGATGTGTGCCAAAAGGGGCAAGCGCTATGTCTCGCTTGGCATAAATGTCAATATGTATGTATATCGTATTCACTCTTTCTTATATTATTGCTGTCATCACTATTATGTATTCGTTTGTGAAGCCGCCATTCTGAGTTTCGTGCTCTAAAACTTCGGATTTTGCCAAAAAATTTAAACGAAATTATATTTTATAAAAATATAAAATCTGTGCTCCTTCGAAAGGCGAATACCTACGAATAAACAGCTTCTACTAGAAAACAGGCAAGTAAAAGTTATGGAAATTAATAATAAGTGGTATCAAAACGCGCTCAGCAAAGAAAAGAACGTACAGTATCGGTCATATCTATAGCACGCCATTTCAAAGTGATATTGTGTGACACTTA